CAGAAAAATGGTTGACTCGTTCAAAGAACAATGGAAATCCAAGCTTTTTAAGTTGGCTTCCAACAGGCCTTCAGTCAAACCACATCTTACTGACATGGAAGAAAGCATTTTGGATAATCCAAAAGAGGCAGTCAGGTACAATACATCATTTTATACATTTCATATATAATTTTAGATTGTGTTTGCTGTTGATTTTAGCTTTCTTTTAGTAGAGGAGGGTTCGAATGTAAATTTTTCTGCATTAAAAGCCAGCACAAGTTATAACTGTTTTAATTCTTTCTTTAATTCAGAAATTGAGGAGAGTGTAGCAGTAATACTTCTTCCACTTTTGATAAAAGAGCGTACCACAAAACATTCAGGCTTACTTCATATTTGCTCTGTAAATATTATGGTGAAGGATTTATTTGTACGTCATAGCCATTTGATTGCTCTCTCTCTAATTGAACAGTGCATTCTTATGTGTTATTTTATATTTTTTTAAGATAATTTTTTTGGTTTTGTCATACAGAGGATGAATCAATTGATGATGTTATAATGAAGTCTTTGACTCCAAAGCTGGTCAGCGTAGGGACAACGGACTGTCTGTCTCTTTTATTCATTGCTGCAGAGGGGAAAATTATTTCAAAGCTTAATATCTCGATTTTGCCAATGCAAGCTTTGGAATTTTAGTGGGTTGTTATTATATATTTAATATTGCATATCCCACCTCAGCAGGGAATGTATTTCTCTTTTTTTATAGGCTGCACTAATAGAAAGGTCAGCAGAAGCTAAGAAACGAGCTGTTGTGCATAAGTTCTTTCAAGATTTAAAGTAATTCGTAGAGCACCCATAAATTTACAGAAAGATGGTAATTTATATAGTTATATTGACGTTCTAGATATAATTATTGTGCATATCTTTTCTATCTTATTTAAAACTGTATTTCTTGTTGTTATTATATTTTTCATTTAAAAAATTGTAATTCGTGTGTTTTGTCAAATTGTCCTAACTACAGGGTTTCGTAATTTCTACATAACAAAACAACTCCGTAACAAGAGAAGAGTTATTTTAACTCCACTTTAAGAGTTACGTTTAACTCTAGAAAAAGTTTTTTTAACTCCACTTTTGGGCTTACTCCAAAAATGGACTTAAAATTTTGGAGTAAAATTTAACTCCAAAAACAGAATCATTCTGTACCTTTTTATTGTACTCCACTTTTGGAGTTAAAATGACTCCTTGAAATTAACAGTGTGATTGATGAAACTATCGGTCGTTCATCTGGTGCTCGATTCTTGTATAGTTTCGGTAAGCCATAGAAGCGTTAGAGTTGAGAACCTCTGGTAAGATTTCATTATCGACTTTGTTGTTAATCGAGCCTTTCTTTAGAAGCTTTCTAAACAGTCATTGCACTTTTGCTTCACGTGATAGTGTGAGGTAGACTTTGCTGTATTGTTAATAATTTTAAGACAGGAGTTACGATAGATTTGACAATCCAGGACCACAACGCCGTTGCCTTTTTCCGGTTTGAGAATGATAATATTTGGATTGTTGCGAATGTATTTAAGTCAGCTGTTTTTTGAAGTCCGCTGGTATTGGGTGATAAGATGAGATGTACGAGTGAGCGATGTGTGTCCTGTCAGCTCTGTTTTGAGATGCGTGTAGTTTCCTTGATTGCGAATGTTGTGTTTTATAGTTTGGTGGATTTTTACCAATGTTGTCAGAATGTCCGTTGAGTTGAGTCGTAGTGGTTTAATGCTGAACCCAAATCCAAGTTCATAGAGTCCTTAAGTGTGACGTCACGTTACAATGGCGCTAAAAAATGCAATTCGAAACAAAATATCTTATGCGAGCGCTTTGGCCACGCTTCCTTTGTTTTGAATGTCTAAAGTTTTAATTATCCAGTGTAATCCTACAAAAGAAAGTAAAAAAAAACAGGAAAGGTTAAAGGGTCATCCAAGGGATCAACTTTTGTTTAAGAAGTGTAAAGGACGTGGGTCAAACGGGCAAAATGGTTTATTGTTTTGCTCCTACATGTGGCCATTCGTCGGAGGGCAACACTTGCAAGTTGTTCGCTTTTCCAAGAGCTACAAAGCAGAACGACGAGTACAAGAGATGGATTCGACTCATAAGGTATGAACTGATATTTAAAAAGAATTCCTTAATTGGTGAGAATTTGATGAATTACGTGATTTTAAGTGAGATTTACGGACTCTATTCAGGTGAAGAGTTGACATCAGGACATGAGGAAGAATCATCGATTACTGAATTATAGAAGCTTCAGCTAGTTGTCTTTTTAACGGTCGCTTTGTCTTTTCCGTAGCCAAAACCTTAAATCTGAGTGCTTCACCGCGTTTTTGGAATTTAGATACATTTAAAACCAATGTAGATCTGCTATGTAACGTGGTTGATCGATTCACGAAATGTTTCGCGTCGCTTCGCGATTTTGCCTTCGTTGGTTGTGGAAAGGCTATGTTGTTGACAACAGAATCACTAAATCGGGTGTTTTTTTATTAACAGAAGAGAAGATCGAGAGCACAGCAAGTACTCAAGAGTATGTAGCTGCCATTTTAGGAATGGTCTGAAAGCCAATGGTCCTGAAGTGTTTGAACGCAATAATGGACTCCGTCGATTTCGACGATGAGGGTTCCGCGAAGCGGAACATCCTGGTTACTGAAATTATAGTGAAGGCAGCTGATATCAGCGTGACACAGTGTGACAAGGCTGCAACATTGCAGATACAGGTACAGTCCATCCGAGGACATAGTTTCCTCTACCAAATTTCCCTCACATGGCTTTGGTCAACCCGGGCTAGGTTTACAGACACATTGCCAGATGTGCCACGAGCTGGGACTGAACCCGCGCCGTCTGGCTTACAGCTCACGCCATTAACCATTCAGCCACTCGCCCCATTTAAACGCAATAAGCATAAGTTATTTACTGAACAAAGGGATCCACCGCCGAAGAAAATACAGAAAACTGAATCAAAGGTAGAATCTCTTTCACAGATGACAGAATTTGCCCGAAAAAATGAACAGCCATTAGTAGCTGACACAGAAGAGAACCTGCAAACAACACAGGAGATTATCTTGGAAGCAGAGCTTGACTTTGCCAACAGGGAGCTAAAGGAACTTAACCAAACAGTATAAGAGGAGCAAGTACACTGTGTCTGCGCTTGAGGGAGATGTAATACGAATGGAGACAGTTCTTCCAACCAAAGAAGTCTTTAATATTGTTGAAAAGCATGATCTTAGATTTAAAGATAGCGTGAACTATTTTGCTGGATGGAAGGTAGAATCCTTCAATTTTGAGGATCAAATTTTTATCACTTTAATGAAAGTACGACAGAACTACATTGCACTGCCTTTACCCTTGATAGGTCGTACTCCCTGAGAAAACGTTTAATAAGTGAAGGAGTGATCCTCTTTGCCTTTAGGACAGAGCCGAAATTACTGGCTGTAAGGCGGCCCCTTCTCGGCAAAAACCAGGCCGGGTTGGCGCGCTGGCCAGCAGTTAATTCGCTAACCTTTAAAATGTCCGTTTCTTGTAATCTGGAAAGGAGAACCAAACAGTCCAGCTGCTGCTGACGCCCAGTGGCTTGAAGAAACTCGTCAGAGAAAATAATTTCTTCTTTGGTTGGAAAAGGAAGCTGGTTAGCAATAGGTGGCTCAAGGTTGATTAGCCAGCAGAGTCCCGTAAACCGCCCATAATCCTTCAGGTCTTCGTAGAACGCGCAACGGTCAGCTTGTGTAGGCTTTCTCGACAGAGCAGAATGCCTTTTAGGCGGGGGGGGGGGACATTTCTGTGACCGCTTGAGTTGAAAGCAATGTATTTGACCTTCATTTCCGCCACTGGCATTTGACGTCGGTTCGGCTCGGTTTGTGAATACCGTGAATAAAGAGGGCTGCTGCGTGACTGCATTTAAACACGCCTCTTGGACATTCACACTCGGTTGATTTTACTTCATGTTCTTCATCCAAATAAATCGTCAAGATTAATGGCATTTAGTTTGGCAAATAGAAACGTTCTTTTCGGCAAGATGCTACTCGTAAAAGATCGATGATGCAAAGAGTAACAACTCACTGTCACTTTATAAACCTTTCGTTTCACGCTTGCGTGTACATCTCCTCGTACAACACCCTGCTGGTAAGTAAATGCTTCAATGTGATCTGACTTAAAGTGGTGTTCCCCCTTTTTTATAGATTTCTTTTCTTCTGAGAAGAAAGAAAAAAGCGAAGCGATGGATAATGTCGCCATTTTGAATCGAATGGGCGCTTGTTTGGAACTGAGATTTTTAGCAACATGGAAACGAGACGTCACCGCTTATGGACTCTATTTCCTTATTATTGTTATAATTTGTGTATTATATAAGCTTTGTATAAACATTTATATAAACTTTGTATTACATAGGTATTATTTACTTATAGCGAAGATGGCATCATGAGACGCCGAAACATTTCTATTCTAAAAAAACTCGTCGTCTATATTAAATGCACATTAGCAAAAGTGCTTCTACGAAATTATGAAAACAGGCTTTATAAGAACTAACTTGTCCTGCTACCGAATTTTGGAAAATCTTTTACAGATTTAAATTTCGTAAATACTGATATAAACTACAATTTCTCCAGCGAAAGAAAATTTATGAATGAATTATGATTGTTTTGGCGAAGACAATCTGTCAATTATGAGATTAAAATTTCTGCAATTGCTAATAGAAAGCAAATCATCCTTGTGTAGAAATATCGATTATTGGGCCATATTGATAAATACATAATACGGATCAGAACATAAACGGATCAGAACATTAGACCTTCGAAAGATACGACCTTTAAAATCATACAAACGTATTGCACATAAATCAAATAATATATTTACCATATACTGTGCTATTTACATAAATCGATTGAATAAAAAACTTAAACAGATTTCTGGGCCGCCAATGGTGAACCATTCATGCATTAACCAATCTTATTTACATATCAATGTTTTGAAGTTGTAAGTCAATACGCTGAATATTGGCGACCTTGGTGGCAATATTTTGAACAGTTAAAGATTTATGATGCGAATAACATTGATGTTTGAGCTCAGTAAGTAAAACTACTTTTATTTATGTCCATTAGACTTAAATAAGGCTTTTATTCTAAAAAATGTGTGCCTATAAAATACAGCATGTTTTACCACCACAAAATACAGCGCAAATTATATGGACACAATCTGGCTCGATCTTGCCTCGATTTTTGAAAGGCTTTATAAATCTCGAGAATAATATGTGATTACTTACCTTAAAGAAACAAATTGGAAAAATATATGAGAACTTTATTTCTTTACTTGCATCTAAGCTTGAGATATTCACGTCTGCGGTGCTCAGAATAAAGCTGGGTATCCATATGATCGTCAACGTGTTGCAACAATGTCGTGAATGTAATGACAGTTTCGTTAATGTCTTGAAAATAGAATATAACTCTATCTTTGCGACTCTGCAACAACATTTCCGAATCATAAGTCACAACCATGTGCAAACCAGACTTCAGATTGACAGCTAAATTTTCATTTGTATGAGATCAGCAACATGGCCGAATTGCAAATCATAATTATCTTGGAGGAAAATTAATTTTATTGTTTAGAAGCGTCACACTGAAATATATGAACATTTAGCCTGACATATAGCTACAGTATATCAATTTTCAAAATGAATAGATAAGAAGTTTATATCTAGTTCATGGAGGTTACACCTCCAATTCATTAAATGATTTTACCAGCTGATAGGTAGCAATTGACATGTAAACAGTTTGTGATGCTTTATTGCATTTTAATTAAATAAAGCAATCCTTTCTTTTGACATTGTGCCAGTATTAAACAATGGCGACAATAAAAACAATCAAAACTTTACTGTTCATTTTACTTTGGGTAATTCAAATTTACTTAAAATAGTTTATTTCAATCAAATTTTTCCTTTGTAAAGTCAAACAAAAAAAAGCAAAATAAAACAACTTTTTTATGTTCAGGTGCTGATTTACGTAGGATTTTGAATACTGTCCACAAATTTTAGGATATTCACACATGCCATATGTTGATTAAAATTGATTAAGTCAAGCAACGTATATTATGTAGGTCCATACAGTCCTGCTGACATTAGTGGCTTATTGAAATCCACTTTAGTTGTAAGCTTTTATCAATAAAAATGGTGACAACATACTCAAGTGGGTGCATACTGATATCCAATACACCCTTTACATACAAACATAATAAACAGTAAGCTGATATAGATGGCCAATAACATGAATATCTTTTTAAAAAAGAAAAAGTGTGTTTTGTAAGAATTAAATATGGCTCGTACACCAATCCATGAAATTATAACACTTTACCTCTACCGCACAATTATTGCACTCCAAGTAGCCAGCATGTAGTCATAACTTATGTAGTATTTATAAAAATAGAGTATTATATAGAGCTATGTTTGATTTTTGAATTGAGTTTATTGTAGAAATATTTAGTGCAATGTACAAAAGTCTGAAAGCTTATGCTCGTAGATGTTCATATTTGTAAATTATTTCTTAAGATGTTTTTCTATCTTCTAAATGACAACTGAGGTTGGTACACAGTTTAGGTTAAAATGAAAGTTACATATTTTATTAATAAATCAGTAAATGGAGTATTTCTTTACCCCACATTTTTATATCTGCTGTGCAGCATGCAAGGTCATTATTTGAGGTTTAATACCACATAATATTTGATAAATAAAGGATAATTCTGAATATATGTAACAAAACCCTACTTCACTTCCATTACCTTGACCCAACACTTTGGTTAATAGAGCATATTGCATTGAAGAGGTTTAAACAATAATGCTATTGCTACAACACATTAATCCAAAAACTTATTATTTATTTGTAGAAAAGCATGCGCTAATGCTTAATGATATGTAGCAAAGCCATTTATGCAAATACAAGCCTAAACTTGATATATTTACAAACACCCTATAATTAATTTCTCCTTTTACAAGTTAAAGTTTGTTTAAGTACAAGTTTGTTTAGAACGGCTAGAAGGAGCAGGAAGGAGAGGAACGATATTTTGGGTGCTCCCGGCGTGCAGAACCACGATGGGGAGTTGAAGGTGTTATTGGAAGACAGGTTAGAAGTGTGGAGGGCGTACTGTGACCGTTTGATGAATGTAGAGAATGAGTGGAATGGAGAAATTGAAGCGGATGAAGTTTTGGGGCCGTGGGAAACAGTGACTGTTGATGAGGTGGCGGCGGCTCTGCGCAAGATGAAGAAAGGAAAGGCGACGGGACCGAGTGAAGTGGGTAGCGAAATGTTGGACAATGAACTATGCGTGAGAGAGTTGTGTAATATAGCGAACGAGGTTTTGAGGGGCTCAAAGATGCCGAGTACATGGAGAAAGAGTCTAGTGGTCCCGCTGTACAAAGGAAAAGGAGCAGCGACGGTATGTGGGAATTACAGGACTATTAAGCTGATGGAGCATGCGTTGAAGATAGTAGAGAGTGTTTGAAAGAAGGTTGAGGAAGTTGTTCGGATTGGGGAAGAGCAGTATGGGTTCATACCGGGGAGAGGAACGACGGATGCGTGTTTTGTGTTGAGGCAGCTGCAGGAGAAATTTTTGGAGAAGGACAGAGAATTGTATATGGTGTGTGTAGATTTGGAGAAGGCGTTTGATAGAGTTCCGACAAAGGTGATCGAGTACGCGCTGCGTAAGAAAGGTGTGACAGAGAATATGGTTCGGGCAGTTATGGAGACTTATGAAGGTGTAGAGGCGGTGGTTACGGAGGAAGGTGTTAGATCTGGTGTTTTTGAGCTAAAAGTTGGTGTTCATCAAGGTTCAGTCTTGTCGCCGTTACTGTTTGCTCGTGTGATGGATGTACTGACAGAGGAAGTGAGAAGAAAAGAAGAATGCTGGTGTTTGTTGTATGCAGATGACATTGTCTTGGTGGCGGAGTCGAAGCAGAAAGTCATGGAATGGTACCGAGAATGGAAAACGGCAATGGAAGTCAAGGGACTGAAAGTGAATGAGGCAAAGACGAAGGGCATGAGATGCTCGAGGCAGGTGGAGGTGAAGGACAGTGATAAATGGCCATGTGGTGTGTGTGGAAAAGAGTCAGGAATTTGATAATGTGTGGAAATGCAGTAAGTGGGTTCATGGAAGATGTTCAGGTGTCCGTGGTGCATTGACAAGAGTAACTGATTTTGAGTGCGGGACGTGTCGAAGTGGTGGGCGAGTCGCGATTGAACGGTTTGAACTGGGTGACGTGAGTTTGGAAGGTGTATCGGAGTTTAAATATCTGGGCGATGTGTTAAATGATGGTGGAGGGTGCGAGCAAGCGGTGAGGAACAGAGTTCAAGCAGCGTGGTGGAGTTTTAGAGTTGTCGGGAATGTTGTGCGGAAAGTCGACTTCGTTGAAGCAGAAGGAGAATTGTACAAGGCATGTGTTAGAAGTGTTTTGGGATATGGAGCAGAGTGTTGGGCGCCGAAAGCAGAGGAGCTGAGAAGATTGGCGTCGACGGAAAGGAGAATGCTTAGGATGATGTGTGGTGTAACGTTGATGGATAGGATTCGAAGTGAAGAGATTAGAGAAAGAGTTGGTGTTGAGTGTATCGAGAATTGGGTAAGGCGCCAGCATTTGAGGTGGTTTGTGCATGTGGAAAGGAGGGAAGAAAGTGCTGAAATTCGTAGAACGTTGCATATGAATGTTGATGGAGTCCGCAAACGAGGTAGACCGAGAAGGAGATGGATGGATGCTGTGAACAGTGATATGAAGGCAATGGGTATAACGAGAGATATGGCGAGAGATAGAGACGTTTGGCGTAGAAAAGTTCATGGACCGGTCAACCCCCCTGGCGGGGATTAATACTGGCCGGTATACAAATGTTGTTTGTTTGTTGTTGTTGTTTTACAAGTTAAAGCCAAGCTGAAGACCAAAGTAGGTTAATAAGAGTTTGATTATTTCAACTTTATTCAAAAAAGTTGAAGGCACGGGTTTGCTTGAACATTAATTAAACATATGGACAAAAAAATAAAATCAGGGGAGCTCATCAGCAAAATCACTGCCAGTGAAGTGAATTATCAAACCATAAAACTAAAGTATGGTTGCAAAAACTGTTTACAGAAAGAAGAAAAGCACTTTAGCCAATCAAATGATGTTTTGATAGATTCGTAATGATCAAGCCATTCCCTATTACAGACTCATTGCTAAACTGCTTGATGTAGAATGGTAACCTCATGACATGAACATTTTTATTTTTGTATCATTATGTAACAATGATCTAGCCTGCAATTATCTCAAAATTATATGAACTATGTATAAACATATATTTATAACTGTAGAACACTTACGAATGACGTATAAATATTAAGCAGTAAATTACTATAATGCCTAATGTGCCTATAATCACAGAATAGATATCTTAACAGAAGGTCCACTTGTGTCGGAAACTCTGATGTAAGTTTCTCCCACTTTTCTGAAGAAAATTATAAGCAGACACACCTTTCAGCAAGATACTTCCTCTAGCTCGCAATAGAAAATATAGATGTTTTTGCAAATATATCTACATAAGTTTCAAATATATCAATATAATTTACAAAAAATTTTTTACAAATTTTGCAATGCGTTTAGAACCTTACCTTCTTTGCAATATGATAACTCTTTGTAAAAATTTCGGCTATGTTCATCGATTAGTATTTTGCTGTTCTAGTATCCTAATCGTATAAGATCAAAATCAGATTGGTTTAGGAATTTTACCATAGGCAAATGCCTTAGTTGCCTACCCCTAGATCCGCCACTCATGCTCATGTAATTTGCAAAATTGATTCTTGACTGCGGTCATATATCGTAAAATACCGCCCAATTCTGCAGCCAATCAGAATGCAGGGAAGCATTCACCTTGCTGATGATTTGTAAAAAATTTCTGAGAAAGAAGTGTGTAAGTATTTTGCATTTGTGAAAGTACAATCAGTTTCATCATGATAATTAAAGTAAAATTGAAAATAGAAAGTTAAACCGTGACTCCTTTTTCCAGTTTATTTATTTCCACGATTGAAGCTTTTAACTTGCGACGAGAATCTCATCAATGCCTACGTATGAATGAGCGACGTTTAATTGCTAATCTTTTCACCCTTGTTTCTCTTACGACTCGTATATCTACAGGTTTTTTGTTTCGTTTAGTTTTTGCGCTTTACAAAACTTGCTGCATGTTTTATAAAATTTGTACATCTTTACATTTTGTCTAAAAAGCTACGTGATTACTTCAGAAATAAACGATGTTTGCTTTGTTTGCACAGGCTTATGCAATATGAGGTGACCTTTGGAACCGAAGGTCGAGAGATGCACATGCTCGAAAGTTCTCACAAACGTCTCTGTGGTTTGCATAAGCCTGTTTATACACGTAAAACTTCTTTTATTTCTTTTATAGAATAACAATAATGCGACAAGACAAGTTTAAAACAAACGTTTTAATTTTTCATCTAATATTTATTCATGATCGATTTGCAAATTCTCTTTGATTGATTGTTTTGATTAATTTGATTAGTTAAGGTCAGATCTGTTTTACACTGACTAATGCAAACACAGCTGGAGACCAATCACCGCACGCATTTTATTCTTTTTTATTTTATAAAGGAAAACAATATAATTGAGCCAATTAAAGCACCTGAAATGACGCTTGCCATACAACAACAACCGTGTAATCAGTTATAAATGTACACGCATATCCCGCTTCTATAAAGCATGTTTTGATACCACGCATTGTTTTCTTAATGAAATAATTTTTGGAAAGTAATTTTTTAATATGTGTAATTTTTTTATGATTAAGTTTCAGATAAAGTTGTTTGAAATACCATAAAAAGTGACGGATAAATGCCATTAAAAATGGGAACAGTATTGTATACAAATCAGTTGCATAAGCTTTAAATGCTAAGAGTGTTTTGATCTTGAATCAAAATTGTATTTATATGTGATGGTGAAGTACATACTTGCGACTCCAGTTTTATATGAAACTCAACTGTACAACGTAGCAAGTTGACAATGTACTCAGTAAACGTTTAGGGTTTTTTATTTGTCTTTTTATTTTTACGTGTTTAAAAGTACAGGTCGAAAGGAAAATTTATTAAACGAGTATTGCTTAGATGCCCGAGAACATTGTATTTTTGTTAAAATTACATCGTAAATGAAAATTACGTTCGTTGAACATTAGCAAGTTTTAACACAATGATAAGGTATTTTTTAAAAAAACAACATAGTGTTTTTAGTGAGGATTTTTGGTTGAAATTGTTATAAATGTCTCCTAGAAAGCAAAGTTTTTTATGAATTGTCATATATTACTTTGTTTGACTTGTATATGATTTATTCTACTTTCATTGCACTAATTAAAACTTCTTATTCTCTGCATTCAAGAGGTATAAAATGGCGTCACAATATCTTTTAAGTAATAAAAGATTTTGGGAAAATGATGAACCTATAAAACTTCCCAGAAACAATCCAATTCCAATACAGCACAATGACTGCATAAAAACATTTCTGAAATGTATTCAAGATGAAGGTTTGCAGAAAGCTTACAATCGTTACGGATACAAGCCTCAGGAATCAAATCTTTCAAGGTCGGTTGTCAGTACTGTACATGAAGATGAAACTATAGTTGACGTCATCGTTGTTGGTGCAGGAATGGCTGGTTTATCTGCAGCGTACGAGTTGAAAAAAGCTGGTCTTTCTGTGAAAATTCTTGAGCAAACAGAGCGCTATGGAGGAAGAGTCTATACGTATGGTAAAGAAAGTGGTCTTGCATCTGGTTTATATGCAGAAGGTGTGAGTTGATTAGCCAAGGTTGTTTGCATGCTTAAATTGAACATCGTTTTATTTAAATGATTTATTGAAATTCGTTGAATTAACTCTTGAAAAGCCCACTTTTTGACGTTTATAATACTGCTAAATATGCCATTTAAGTGCAAAGTGTCATGTGGGATTGCATTTGTGGCAGATGGGTTTCGTAGAAGAAAGTTCGGAGTGAACTGAGGCACGTGAATGTTAAAATTTTCAACCAAAATAAAACAAAACGACAACGCCGTCTAAATTTCGAAGAGAACTGCGTTGTGGACGCCGTCGTGTTCTCAACTTATTTTGATTTAACATTTTTAGGATGGGCCGCTGAGCAATAGGTTGAAGTTAAAAATGACTTATTATAATTTCATAAATTAAACACAATTTCCTTTTTATCTTAGGTAATTTAGCAATCAAAACTTTTCACATGAGATTTAACATCAAATGTACAAAATTTTTTGACAATTACATTTTCCTGTGAAGTTATAGCTACCCATAACAAGAAGGTATTTTCCTATAGTTGTTTGTTTTCGCATGTCTGTAAATATGGGAAAAACGGAAACGTTTTTGTTCCAATGTTGACACTAGTATGCGCGATAAATACTTCATAAGAATCTTCTGTTCTGTTCTGTTCAGGTGCCATGCATGATGCATGCTTGGGCTACCATGTCTCTCCAACGTTGACGGTTACGAGCACAGGCAAAGATTTCTGCAGTGTTGGCGATTCCGGTAACTTTCTTAACTCTGTCCAAATACGTTATGCGTTGACGGCCTCGTGCTCTTTTCCCTTCGATTTTTCCTTGCAGCGCAACACATTCCAGGCCTTCCTTCCGAACTACGTGGCCAAGAAAACGAAGTTGTCTCTCGATTATTACGGAGAGTAGTTCTCTCTTCACACCGGCTCTTCTCATAACCTCTTCATTTGAGACGTGATCAATAAATGACACTTTCAACATCCTTCTCAAAAACCACCTTTCTGCTGCTTCTAAGTTTTTCTCCAGGTCAGCAGTTAGAGTCCAGGCCTCACAGCCGTAAGTCAAGATTGACCAAATGTAGCATTTGAGTAATCGTATTTTGAGTGGCATTGATAAGTTTCGGTTGACAAAGATGGATCGCAAGTCTTGAAATTTCAATTTTGCAACAGCAATTCTCTTCTTCACTTCCTTTTTGCATCTCACATCGGTCGTCAGCAGACTTCCAAGGTAGTTGAAGCTTTCCTTCTCCTCAATATGGTCGTTGCCAATTCTCAAGTAACAGTGGGGCTTTTCTGCAAGTTTGCTGACTACCATCGATTTGGTTTTACCACAGTTGATAGTCAGGCCCATTTCAGCGCTCACTTCCACAACCTGGTCTAATAGTGCTTGCAGTTGTTCTTCAGTGGTTGCAATCAAAACGAATCTTAAAGCAAAAAAAATTTAAAAAATATTTGCCTCAGAAATTTATTTTCATCTAAAACAAATTAAACAATTATTGTATTATTTAATGAAACAGAGACTTTTTCGTGGTGACAAACTTAAAGATGGATTTCAAAATAGCAAATACCATGGTGAATGGTGATGATAACAATGTAATAGTTCTTAAAAGAACTGTTTTAACAAACACTAACCCAACAATTCAAAGGAACCGTTATTTACAGCTAGAAAGAGACACTATGCATTTCGTCAGACTACTCGTCAGGTGTCAACGTCTGCTAAATGAGAACCTCCAAATCACGTTTATAATGTTACTGAAGGTCAATGTTACAGAAGGTCATTTACAATGTTACAGAAGGTCATTTATAATGTTACAGAAGGTCAATGTCATCCCTATTTTTAGAGATGACACTTAAAACAGAGACAGATTAAACACGTAATCCTTTTGTCGGCAAAGGACAGGATTAGTCAATTTAATTAATACCGACTCCATGACGCGTAGCTGGAATAACGAGCGACATTTTTTAATAACTTTAAAGTTTTCATCAGAATAAGCATTGGCACAGTGAGTGCTGCTTAACATCTTTGGAAAACATCTTTTAAGCAACACTTGCTGTGTCCTTTGCCGACAAAAGGATTACGTGTTTAATCTGTCTCTGTTTTAAGTGTCATCTCTAAAAATAGAGATGATATTGACCTTCTGTAACATTATAAATATAGCATGTTTTGGAGGTTATCATTTTGCAGACGTTGACACCTGACGAGTAATCTGCCGAAATGCATAGTGTCTCTTTCTAGCTGTAAATAACTGTTCCTTTGAATTGTTGGGTTAGTCTCTTGTTAAAACAGTTCTTTTAAGAACTATTACATTGTTATTATCACCATTCACCATGGTATTTGCTATTTTGAAATCCATCTTTAATATTGTATTATTGCTAGTACGCTTCTGTAGACGTAAAAAATTAATAAAAAAAAACTCACGAGAAAGATGGTGCCCGGAATTGGTGACCTGCTCAGTGTTTCATGTTTATAGCTATAACAAAGTTTTTGAGATGTTTTTATTAGTCCTCACCATTTTTATAATTGTTTGAGTTCTATATTTGTTTTTAAAAATAATAAATCATAAGTATAATGCAAAAGTGTGATGAGTACCATGTCATAAAACATATGTGCAACCGTTTACTTTTGCATTGACTATAAAAAAAGGAAAACTAAGAGGGCATCTTATCTGATCTTAAATTGACTATTCAAGCTTTGATAAAATCAATTAAGTTGAATTATGCTTACTATTGAAATCAAGAGTTTAATTTGATAAAAGTGTCATGTAACCTTACTATTATACATGCCCTTTAGTAATTTGTGCGAGAGATGAATTGTTTTTTCTTTGTTTTTTTAGCAGGGGCTATGCGAATTCCTTGTGATGCCGATGGTCAATATGAGGGGCAACATTATTTGACAAATGGTTACATCAAGAACTTCAATCTACCAATAAAAAATTTTCCAAACTACGATGAAAATACCGTTTCTTGTATCTATGGGTTTCATGAAAAAATTTATTAAAAGTAGACACTGCAAAAAGTTTGTAATAAAGTTCTATATGTTTTGCGAAGTAAGAGGATATACGTGAAGAGGCTAGGAACAGAAAAATTTCTCTTAATATACGCCTCATCTAATTAGCCAATTTCTAATTCGTTTTTTAGCGTTGGTATCTTCGCAAAATACACTCAAGCCATTAACATTTTTTGTAAAATTTGTAACCTGCTTGAACCACTTGATACGCAATTAACAGTTATGACGATAACCTTAACTTCTAAATACTGTTAATAGAGCTGTTTATTTAACTTCATTATCATTGAATTTGAAAGATTGTACTACGACTTTTTTAGCTTGGTGTGAGAAACATTTCATCAAAATTTGGCCAAATTGGAAAGATGGTATAAAGGAAGAGTTAAAAGGAGATATAACTGATATTTGTAAGTTTAATGAGACTTTTTTCTCCCAGTTTTTATAAGCCAGCCATCAAAATTAAGAGACTATTTACATGGCAAGTTGATAACTGTTTGATTTGATTGTGTTGGACCATGATCAGGATTAAAACTAGACTTGTTTGTTTTCCTTTTGGAGATAAATATTACCAAGAAACAACAGATGTCGTCACTGGCCAGCTTTGCACTTGGTTATCGAATTCCAAGAGCGTCGTTGATCAAGTCTATGCTTGGGATCGATGGATTAAAATTTGGAGTCGGTTCACGGTGGAAAGTTTTCTTGAAAGTAACATCAATACGATTAAAGCTAAAGTGTCTGTTGAAGACCAGAAAGACTTAGATTTAGTGAAACTTGAAAACCTTTTGCCATGGTCTAACGATGCCGTTCGTGGTTTTTCTGTATTTTGCTATGTGCCCGAAATTGAACAGTTCCTGGACCACTTTCTTTCTTTTAAACTGGGAAAGTGGTCATCTGGTAAGATGCATTGCTTGAAAGGTGGTATGCATAATTTGCCCAAAGCGTTTTTAAAAAATGAAATATTAAGTAAAGATGACATAGAATACAAGAAGCAAGTATATGAAATAAATTACGGGTATCAAGAAAAATATCCACTGAAAGATGTCGTAGAGGTGTCATGTTATTCTGTCAATGATGCACCATGTGTGTATAAGGCAAAGGTGAGTTTAGCAAATTTAAATTATTTTGTTATTTGCAAGTTCACTTGACACCAAATTTGAAAATCATAATGTTTTTCCCTAATATTTGTTTCTTTTTTAAGGAATGCTTTTCTCCTGAAACCTTCTATGTACTTTTCGATTATTATTTTTGGCTTGCTAATGTGTTGCAAAAATTGCTAACAACCACTAAATTGTACACAGTGCATTTTTTGATGTTTATTCCACTTTAGAAGGATTTTTCTGTGTAAACACCATTTTCACAAACAAGCCTAATGTAATGACGTGATTTTTAAGCATATTTGTGCGTGTCTTCTAGCGACATCACTGAATCGAATATATCAATCCTACATTGTTCTTGAACCAATGGCTAGCAATTGTAAAATGTTTCAGGAAAACTTTGAACTATGAATAGAAAATACTATCCTCTTACATAAACTAGAGTGTGTGCTCTTCTTGTTCAAGAAATGAATAATCGCAATTGTACATGTGTGTTGTTGTTGTGTAGGCAGTAATTATTACCACGCCAATAAACATTTTGCGTCAATAAGATTCAAATCAAAGCTTGATGACATCAAATCCCAGTTGGCGATAAAAAAAAGCGTCCAGGCAATGGGAAATGTTTTTAATCAGCATTCAACAAAAATCTTTCTTCAAACCAAAGCAAGATTCTGGGAAAATGAAGGAATTAAAGGTGGATTTTCAAAGACAAACCTTCCCATAGGCCAGATTCATTACGTCACCCCGGAGGACTGCTAAACGAAAGAGGGGCTTTTAATGATTTACACGTGGACGAAGGAGGCTCTGCTTTTTGGGTCGATGAAAGAAAAAGTGGTAAAACGGAAAGTAGTTGAACAACTCGAAGAAATTCATCCAACCTTCAAAGAAGATATGGTGACAACCTTTATTGTTCATGCTTGGAATAATCTGCCATCTTATCAAGGAGCGTATGGAGAAGTGAAAACATCTCATTACGAAAGTACAAGGTGCGAAAATTTCGGGGCTATTTTCCTGTTTCTTATAATTTCTTCAAGGGCCATTCTTTTTCCAACGCTTTAGGAAAACGAAAAACATTTACTTTTAGTTTTCGTTTTTTCCTCCTTAAAAATGCAAATAAAAATCGGGTTTTTTTTGGTTTTATCCACCTCTGCAAAACCAATATTAAATTCAAGTGTAAGCAAAAGATTAAACATCTCATTAACGCTTAGCTGCATATTCCCTGTATAAAAGCAAGCTTTTGCAAAAATATCAGGAATGCAGCTTTGATGATTCACCGTGCAAGGTCAACGCACGATGTAGTTTTGAAACGTTGTTGCTTCGTTGAGCTCGTTTGAAACTTCGTTTGGAACATTAGAATTAAGAATGTTTCCTTTGTGGTAAACAAAAGCAAGCGAACACGAGTTTTATAATCATCATGTAGCTAGCTAGGAATACTACACTTTTTGATGCAGCGAAGTCCTAACAGATTCTACTTGTCGATGACATAGTATCAACGAATCGATATTTGATGGTGTAAGGAGAATATATGAATCTATCAAGCGAAGAAAGTTCATTATTTTGCACTTTGTGTTGTATTTATATTTTACAGTTTGTTTACCCGTGTTTTACCTCGCAGATACAAGGAAGTTTTGCAAGTCATATTGTTTTGAATGTACGCTTTTGGTTAAATTAATGCTCTGATTTTCAGAGTAAACACTGCAGTCGTATTATAACTAGGACTACAATGTCACACTCTCCAGAACACAAACATTCAATTTTGAAATTGGTTTTTTAGAGATTGGCTCAACAAAACAAGAAAAACGAAAAGAAAATTATAACTTTATTTTCGTTTTCTTAACGTAAAAAAAAAAACAAATGGCCCTTTGTAGCGCAATTTGACAACATTTGTTGTTTGTTTTAACAATTTGCTCTTATATTTGTAAAAGTGTTTGAGAAATATGGGAAATTTCATCTTTATATATGGTAGACTTCTAATCAAACTACTTTTTAACATACATAATAATTTTTTACCCAATTAGGCATTTATGGGAGCCGATGGGTAACGTTCATTTCGCTGGTGAAAGAATTTCTTTTACCCGTATGTGGATACAAGGTGCTTTAGAAAGTGGTTTAAAAGCTGCATTTCAGGTTTATGAACGACATATGGAAGGAACCTGGAACCATACGTTGTGAGATTTTTCTGTAATTGAGGTAAAAGTTTGTGTCCACTATTTATGAAAACCTTTATAGTCTACCTTTTAGTTTCATGTACTTGGCCGCTGACGTACTGATTTATAACATATTCAACACACTTTTCTTTTTCTGTGTTCGCATTTCAAGTAATTTTTCTTTTCAAAATTAAATCATATTTTAAAAGTCTTAATAATTTTTGTTCTTTTATTTGAAAATGTTTCAGTTTTTTCAACGATTAATTTTCTTAGTTAAAGTTGATAATTTGGAATCATGGAAGAAACCTGTTAACAATATATGGAGGATAAATTTATATAGATACACATCATTGAAAGATGATGAAATTGTAATAAAGTCAGTTAAATATCCAAGTAAATGAAGTAAATTAAAATAATAAATATGTTTTACTTTTTCAAATATTTCGACAAGCTTTTTCTACTACGTTCAATTTCATCAGCTTTCTTCAACTTGGCGTTTTTCTTTTTCCTCTGTCTTGCTTTATTTTGTTTCACTGTTGTAAGTCTCATTTTCAAGTATCTGTTCTACCTCAATCCACGAATTATAATATCTGTAATAGATATTGGAGCATTGTTTATGGACAAATATGCAGATACAAAGTTATAAAGAAAATAAAAACATATCTAACATTGTCACGAATATTACGAGGGGCGTGACAATGTGTTGATATATTTCATTGTCAAAACAAGCTTAAGAAGACAAAGAGCATGCCAAAAATGCATTAATGAAAATTTGCTTAGCACATATAAAAGCACCAATTTTAGAGCTCGCTCGGTGACAAGTTAGTTAAGAACGACCAACTCTATGTATCGATTATGGAATAATTATCTCGCTAAGTTACAAATTTTCAGATAAATGATTTGCGCATGCGCAATCTGTTTGAGCACGAGCAGTCGAATTTCTTAGCTGCCCAACTTTACGGTCATGGCAACGGCCAATTGCATCTACTAGAACTGATTTTTATGTAAATAGCATGCTTAGTAACAATTTAATAAAGACATCATCTGGGCATGCGCTCGAGCATGCGCAGTCCACTCGAATAATTGTTCATAGTCATGGCAACGACTAACTACACGTACTTGCACTACATTTGTTGCAATTAGCTCATTTAATCGCATATTATCAAAGAAATCATCTGGGTAGGCGCAGTAGTGACCTTTAATAATACCACAACTTTTGTAAGCCTTTGAATTTAGGTATATATATATATAAATCTAAAACTTCCTAAAGGAGATGTCAACTAGCAGTGGAAGCTGGGTGCGATATAGTATGCAGTGGCTTAGAGGCCCAGACTTTGATCGCGACCTCACTCTCCCTGCGTACCCCAAGTAAAGCCTATCGCAGGTGATCTCGGGATCTGATGGGCGGAAGCTTGCTGCGTATTGGCATACCCAAGTAGGATAGCATGGAGGGACCGAGATCTCCAACCGAAACGTTAACATGCGGCGTTCTAGGGCCTTACGCTTAAGAAGGTATTGGGAAGCATGGACCGAAAACGGGGTTTTTGCTTTTGAATTATATCTTTTTGTTAATCTCATAAGAGAAACTAGAACATCCAAGGATACTGCAAAGGTTAAAAAAACCGCTGCCTCTTTGACTATACGTTTTTTAGATATCTTTTACAATGTAACTTTCTCATAACTCTCTTGTGACAAACGAGAACCTTCTTATAACTTTCTCATCATGAGCAAAAGCATCCATGGGCTTTATGAAAAAAGGGACTATCTACTTTTTTATTATAGTTTTTACACAGATAACATTGAACAAGCAAAGCAATTTGTATCGTCTAAATTTATTTTTGCTTTCAACCCTTAATGTTATAAAATTTTGATTCATTTTAGATAGTAAATTTCTTTTTACCTTACAATATTTGCATAGTTCAATCTAGAAAGGAACTTCTCTTCTCGAGCAATTTAGCAATTTAACGGAACTCTTTTCGGATACAAAGGAATTCTTTTGATCGCATACAGACAGCCGTCCAATTTATTACGTATCAAAGCGTATATAAAACACTTCAAAAACTAAATCACAAACAAATTTTCTTTCACATGACCAAATTACCGTCTATTGAAACGATGTATGTAATAAAAAGATACCTTTACAACTGAAGCAGACCCTCCTTTTTCCAAGCATTCGCAACAACTCAAATTCATTCCGAACTCTTGAATTTCTCGCAGCGCAGCCGTAAGGAATAAGCATCAAATCAGGAGACTCATCTCCATCATCACAGCCATTTTGAATTCTCCCTTGATCTTTTTCAGCGTCAAGCTTATCTGAAGTGATGTGATTGATTAAACAGTTCCACATGAGACTTGAAGAGATAAAAGGATATCAAAGTAGCTGCTGTGCTGAGCATTGGTTACCGTTCTCTGGATATAGACATCAATACAAAGTATATGACATTCAAAGACAGTAGCTATAACTTCTTCGTCAATTTTAATGCTTGTGGTTCTTCATGATGTTCGTTTTTTAAAGTGAAAGTTTGGAGTGCAAGTTTTCAAGCATAGCTATTATTATATTGACAAATGCATATTCCAAGAAGGATAATTTTCTTTATGACACTGCCTTTCAATGAAAGAGAACTTAGAAGGCCAAAAAGAGCCTTTCAATTCATTAAAACATAAAACTCTTTTTTTTGCCATTAGTCGACTTTTTAAATAAAACACCTAAAAAATATAACAATAGAAAACAAAAAGTGTCGAAATACGTTTACTTGAATCATTCCTTATTCGCAAAAATTAGAATAATAACAAATAGTAACTCTTTATAGATATATATTCAAATTGTTCACACTTTTTTCATGTTTAGTTACACATACATACAGTTAGTGCATACGATATTGGAAAGTTTCAACCTGTAAATGAACGTGAACTAATCCTCCTACAAATAAAATTTTATTGCCTGCTTGAGCCACGGCGGGAATTTTCTAATTTCCTTTTGCTGAAAATTTCCGAGATGTTGTAGTAATAGGAGAAGTTACATGAAGTATTAGATGCAAAAAAAATGGCAGTGTTGTTACATTGACATTATGATACGAAATTTTGGTCGGTTTGGTGGCGATATTTTCAACAGCTGTAGGTTTGTGAAATTAATATTATTGAAAGTTGCATGATTTGGGAAAAATATTCAAAGTTTTCATCAATTATAGTTGATTAAGGCCGTTAGTATAAATAATATGTTTCTACGAAATCAAGCATGTTTTGCACATTATACAGCTTAAATTAAATAGAGCCAATCACACTTCATACTAGTAAAGGCAGCTTGAATCTTAATTGGAGAATCGACATTAATTGACACTGACGAACAAGTTAAAAATATGTGGTGAGGAAATGAAATCTTGACTTGCAACCAAACTATGGGTAATTAATTATTAACCAATGCATGCTCATTTTGCCTGAATCTCAGAATAACAGTGATATATTTGAATATCTGAATCTGAATTTCAGAATAACAGTGAATAATTTTTGTATCAGATCACCAATATAACTAAATTTCAAGTCAAGAAATGCAATATTTGCTGGAACTTTTATTTTGTCATTTGGAAGCATATAAACTTTGTCACAGCTGTCACTATATAGTAAACACAGTCAGATCTTGTGATGCTCAGAATACATAACTGAACACACATCTCATTTTCAAATACTTTGAGCATATCCTGTTGGGAATTTTGTTGTATTAAATATTCTTCACAAATTTCCAACCAACAGCTTTTCTAAACAAGTCTTATAAGTTTAAAATGAGCTTATTTGATATGTTTTGACCTACCCGACATCAGCTGCTGATTATATATAGCTGCAGTATGCCAGAATCGACCTGCAAAATGACGAGATTGGAAATTCATTATTTACTGCTGTAAATGATTTTCAAGTGAAAGAAAGGTTATAAACAGTTCTGAAGAACTAAATTTATCAGAGGGAGGGTGCTCTTTTGACGAGACTGAAGCCATGAAATGATAAGAAATACGCGACAGCGTTGTTTGACATCATCCTATATCTTCACAATGTTTCATCGAAATGACTCATAGATGAAAGATCATAGCTCACAAGTCTTACAAGTAACGACTGCTATTTTAATATACGTTTGAAATAGACTTACACACACTCATACCTTGCTATGCATGACGGAGATCTGAAAGTTAAGAAAATGAGTCTACTACAATAGCTTATAATTTATAAATTATTGTAATTTTTAACACAGTAACGAAAACATTATTTATAACATTATGTCTAGTTGTATACTAAATTCTATTACCCTACTGCTACAGGAATACTATTATTCTAAAACAGTAGTGACAGGCTTTCAAATTAAACTAGCAAAAATATTTTTATTATGAATATAATAGCTCTACATAAGACTTCTAAAAAAGCCATCATGATAGTAAATCAGAAATAATTAATGAAGGTTTTTTTAATAATGGCGTTAACTTAAGACACATTGGAGCCAATCCTGCGATAATTGAATGAGGACCATATTCATATATTATGTGATGCCTGGCTTATTTCTTTTGAAAGGTATATTGTTTTGAAAAGAAATTAGGCCAGGCATAGCAGAATATATGAATATGTTGCCCCATCCCTCAATTAACACAGGATTGACGCCAATGTTAAAACATCTTCAGATGAAATGATAGGAATTTTTGCATGAGGCTGTAAATATAAGCATATATTTACAAGGTGTTAAATTACATATGAGGAGAGTAGAAAGTTTAGGTGACGGAATGAAATAAAAAGGGGAGTATATTAAAAAGGTGAAGGGGGATTAAGTTACCTTGGGTGTTAAGAGAGGGCTTAAGCTTAGATATAAGAAGGCTTTCATGAATCATAAGGTCATAATTGTCGGAGGAAAAAGAGAGAATTGAGAAGTCATTAAAATCGGCAGAGTGAGATATGTTTCTTATATTGGAAAGAATTACGGACGGTGGTGGACAAGAGGAAGTTTTCCCTGTTAAGGGAGAGATTCCCAAGATTTCCGATGTTTTAATGTGCAAATGACGTGTGGTTTGACCCACATACGATGAGGAACAGCATTGACACTTAAATGAGAATACAACACCAGATGTCAGTAAATATTTGTTGGTTTTCTGCGCCCATGCAACTCAATGCAGCTATCAGAAGTTCTTCGCGTAAGTTTTTAATCTAAGTTATTCCATTTGAAAAATAAACAGCAAAAATGAATGCTGTCATGGACATGTGAAATATTTAGACAAGAAGAGTTATCGCTCTATGAAGAACGTGATTTTAATAATTTTAATTGTACTTCTTGAAAATACATTGAGTTTTCGTCAATCATGTTCTTATTAAATCATGCATTTTCGAAAGCAGAAGGGGCTTAACTCCCAGATCTTGTATAATGGGGCTTTGTTCTCCCCCCCTCACTCCACTAATTGCCCTACCTTTATCCCACTTCTACAGTACAGCATTTGTTATAAACTTTGCAGCTTTCATAAAAGACTAACGTGCTTAATTAAACATTTCAGAGCAGCAAATGTTGAGCAACACAATGTGCATTGCATCTTATTCTTCGATGAATTTTTAAGTCAAAACACCTTCAAGTCGAAATCAAACCAAACACAACTTTTATATATGCAAAAATTATAATGAATAAAAATTTTCCAAATTTAATAACTTCAAGTTAAAATACACACAACATAAGAGGGCACAAAGTCGTAATTTTTTTCTTTGAAGGCCGCAGTCATTTTGTTGATGCAAGGCAGTGATTTTCCAACAAGTTCATTGACGACAATTTGTCTTAGCCTTGCAGCGCTCAAATTTTTTTAAATAAACGAAACCAACATGTTTTATGTGTAGTTCTTTTTTGAAGTTTATTCTTCTTTGTTTATAAATGGTACTTTTTTGCACTAATTACTTAAGGAAATTTAGTCGCGGAAACACCTTACCATTAATTGCTATTTGAACAATTAAATAGTCTTTCTGTGAAAATTCTAGAGCAAACGGACCGTTATGGGGGAAGAATTTTTACGTATGGTAAAGAGAGTGGTCATGCGTCTGGTCTGTATGCAGAAGGTATGGATAAACTTGTTCCGTAGTGGGTGTTTGCTTGAATTTATAATTATTTCATGTCGTCCATATTTTTATAAACATTCCCACAGTTCAATAGAACTTTAATTTGGCAAGAATGTTAATCCACCCAGTTCATAACTGTTTATAATTCCGTTTTGTCATTATATGTTTAGCTATATCATTTTTAACTATCAAAACAACTATCCCAAATGTAGTCGAAAATACAAAACATGTACACAGCAATTTGGTCTTTTATGTGAAATTTGTGACAACGAAGTTCAAAGGCTTTGTTTTGAATTTTCGGTTCGTCTATACATTTTGAATACGAAAGGACTTGTGGTAAAGGAGTTTTTTTATGACCCAAATATCTTTGTGTGTCTATTGAGCTACATGGGATTTGTAGAAGTGCGTTTATTTTTGGTCACTGTTCTGCTGTGCAATGAAGTAATTTTCTATGATTCTTCTTCCAGATGTATTTGTGTCTCGTTGCAAAATAGAGTGGTATTGCTTCTTTTCTAAGATTGTATGCATTTCTGGAAAGTCAGCCGATTTTCCTTCCCCAAAAATGCCCCAAAAACCACAATATCGTTACAGAATCTCCCATATGCTAAACTACGTATAGGCACGACAAATAACTCATATGAACGAGACAAATGAAATTTTGATTGATCAGACCATAGTTTTTCCATTGCTGAACTGCCCCCTTTTTATGCTTTCGTGACAACAACCTTTTTTTTTCATTTCAAGGTCAGGACTTGTGTCATCAACACGCCAAAAAATAACTGTTACTTTCATTGATATTTTTCTCTTATCATTTGTTTCAAACACAAATTAGATATTGCAAAACATTGTCTTTTGTTTAATGTCGAGAGTGATAAGACTCTAGTGACATGGTCAGTGTCATCTAGTAATGATGAAGTATACAAGAGCATGCATGAGCAAGTTACGCAACCTACACATACGCCAAATTATGTTAACCATTAAAAGCTTTAAAATTTAAAAACTTTGATATTCTAGTTAATGAATGTCCTCAGAATATTAAGAAAAATTTTAGCATCGAATCTTACAGTTTTGAAAAAAATGAACTGTTCTATTTTTTAGTGGGGGCTATGCGATTTCCCGGTGATGCTAATGATCATTCAGACAGACCGCATTTTTTGGCGGACGGTTACATCAAAAGTTTTAATCTGTCCATAAAACCTTTTCCTAACTTTGACAAAAATGTCATTACCTGCATCTATGGGTTTCACGAGAAATCTGAAGGTGAAGTATATAAAACAAATGAATTATTGCAACAACTAAATACATTGCATGCATGGCGCAAAAAGTTCTTTAAATATAAAGTTTTTAATATAGCAGGTCAATTTCAAGAAATTGTGTAGGTAGTGTCGACAGGTATTGCAAAGATAGGAGAGCTAGGTGACCAAAAAAATCATTGTCGATAATAAATTAACCACTTGACGTTCGGCGTGTTTCCACATTGCAGTTTGGGCTGAGAAGCATTTTAACAACATTTGGCCGAACTGGAAAGATGGCATGAATAATGCCTTAAAAGACGATATTTTGGATATTGGTAAGTGTAACGAGACTTTAAATTCTTCAATTTTATTAAAAATATATTTTTCCTGAAAATCGCGACATTGTTTTATTTTATTCTTGCAAGAATTTTTCTGGAAATGAGAAATCTTGGAAGACATTTTCTGTAAATTGAGAGCAATGACAATTAATCATGATTAATTGAAATTATTATACATGCCAAGCGTCACTTCCAGCAAAATGGCGCGCTTTGTTTCGCTCAGAAACATTTTTGCCGGTCCATTATTTTACGTAATGCGCTACGTTCCAAAATGCGTACTTTTACAATCAAATGGAAACGAACTTTGTAAAGCAAACAGCAAAATGAAAAAAAAAACAAAGCAAAAAACCATTTGCGAATGTGAGTCGAAGCAAAACAGCAAAGACGAGAAAGAAAGCAACTTCGTTTCAGGTCAAATGATGCCATATAATAAACTTTTTAGTAACCTTGCTTTCTCGGTCTTTGCTTAGAAATATCAGACCTCTGTCTTTTTGTACAAACCTCGCCCTGCGGACTCGGTCTGTGCATAAAGACCTCGGTCGGATGATTCTACGTAAAGACCTCGCACTCGGCTATTAGCTAAGGGCTTAGTAAACTTCCTCCATTTTTTTGCAGAAAAATATTTTGATGAAACAATCGGTGCTGTTACAGACCAGCTTTACACTTGGTTGTCGAAATCAGAAATTGTTCATGATCAAGTCAATGCATGGGGACGTTGGATTGAAATCTGGAGTCAGTTTACGTTGGAAAGCTTTCTTGAAAGTAATATCGATGTAATCAAAGCTAAAGCCTGTTGAAGATAAAGCAGACTTGGATTTAGTTAAGCTTGGAAATCTTTTGCCATGGTCGAATGATGCTGTTCGTGGTTATTCTGTATTTTGCTATACGGAGCAGCTTGATCAGTCACTGGGATCCTATCTTAATTTTGAACTGGGAAAATGGTGTTCTAGTGAAATGCATTGCTTGAAAGGAGGGATGCATAGTTTGCCGAGAGCGTTTTTCAACGATGAAGGATTGAGTAAGGATGACATAGAATGCAAGAAACAGGTTTTCGAAATAAATTACTGGTATCAAGATGAGTATCCTCTGAAAGATCTCGTTGAGGTGTCGTATTATTCAAGTAGCGGTGCGCCAAGTGTGTATAATGCGAAGGTACGAGAGATTAGTAAATTGAACATCGAGTATAAATAGTTTAAGGATAGTTGATACTTCTATTTTGTTGGTCTTTTCACTTTTTCAAAATGTATGGCTGGTTTCTGTGCAATATTTCTTTTCAAATAGCTACAATTTTTCCTACTTTGTATATAATAGTTATAAGGCCTCAATTGTGACAAAATTTGCTTTTCGATATTCTTACTACTGGTCTGAGGGCAGTCTGCCTTTGCTTTTGTTCGCATCCTATGGAATTACATTATCCGTCTAGTTCTACAGGGTTTGTACACAGCTTTTGCTAATTGTTTGTCGTCTTAGGAAAAATCATTAGTACTTCAGTTTACAGCTTTTAAATTAACCCTATAGCTCTTTGAACCCCGAAGCGTATCTCAACATCGTTCAGTGCTTTTGAGCAGCATTCTTTACTATTTTAGAACATGCGCACTGTGAAGTGCATATGCTGAATAATGGCTCGGGAGGAAAACTTTTGAGCTGGTCACTGAACTGCATGTTATCCCAGGATTTTAAATCTCGACAAGTTGAGCGCGTTGGCACATATTGCTTAAAATCACGCAACAAACAAAAAAATAGTTGAATGTTGCGTTTAGCTTAATTCACGGTAAATGGATTAGCTTTTACAATATAATTTCAACGCGAACCCGGTCTTCTCAGGGATTTAGTGGGGTCTGTAGGTCGTCTTCATTGGGACATCTTTAATTGCCTGTTTTCTGAAATCTTACTATCTCCCAAGTCTCCTGAAACTTTACCAAAAGTAGTTGTTTGCTTTGATGTTCCACTAAGAACTGAATTTTCATACCTGAAGAATATATTTGACGTAACGTGACACTATACAGACCTAAAATTTAGCACCTGGCAAGATAAAATCGTAACCATTGGTTGCCACCTAATGAGAAGTCTCCCCAAACGTATTGTGTCATTTACATTATAGCTATCTTATTGATTGTAGTTTTCATTAATTTTTAGGACTGGTTATACTTGTCAATCACCAGGACAATTTTCAAAGGACTGTTTAACTCAATAATTTTCACTTTCATTGATATTGATAGTCTGTAAAAATTACATATACCGTTTTATATGCACCTAAGAGTTTTATATGCACTTTCCTGATTTTTAAGAATAAAAGCTAAGCAAAACCTTTGAAAACTGTTTGATTTTTGTTTAGGCAATAATTGTTGCCATCCCAATAAATACTTTGCGTCAAATAAGTTTCAAACCAAAGCTTCATAATGATGAATCCCAGTTGGCGATGAGAAAATGTGTTGAAGCTATGGAAGATATTTCTATTGTGCAATCAACAAAAGTTTATATTCAGACCAAACAGATATTCTGGGAAAATGAAGGAATCAAAGGTGGTTTTTCTAAGACAAACCTTCCCATAGGTCAGATTCATTATCTCACTCCGGAAGATCCCAACACAAAAGAAGGACTTGTTTTGATCTACACATGGAAAAATGAAGCTCTGCTTTTTGGATCTATGAAAGAAGAGCAAGTGAAACAAAAGGTGATGAAACAACTCGCAGAAATCCATCCGGCATTCAAAGAAGACATGGTGACAACATGTATTGTTCATGCTTGGTATAACCAGCCATCTTATCAAGGAGCGTATGGAACAATGAAAGCTGCTCAACACAAAAATATAAGGTGTGCATGATATGGGGTAACGCATAATTCTTTAATTGAAGTGATAGGTTAAGAAACGAGATTATTTTTAATAAGATAATACTGTAAACATGCTCGTCGCATTTTTTTCAATGTTTTTCACAAAAATCTCTGTAAAATTGTTGTTTTTTATATACTTAGAAATAACGTCAAATACAAGTTATAACATTTTATGGATAATTTTCGTTTATCTATGTTATCTTCTTCAATTTTTACTCAAACCTTTATTTTCCTAAAATAACAATTTACAATTTAAAAAGAAACATTGGTATATATTATATTTGTATTCAAAATTAGGTATTTATGGGAGCCTATAGGAAACGTTCATTTTGCTTGCGAAGGAATTTCTTTTACCCCGAAGTGGATACAAGGTGCTTTGGAAAGTGGTTTAAAAGCTGCATTTCAAGTTTATGAACAACTTATGGAAAGAACTTTTACCAAAGTTTGTGAACTTTTTTCTGCTTCTGTAACCTCACCCTTTATGTCAATTTATTTTTATAACATGAAGATATATTTGACGTAGTCTTAATACGCCACTGCTTCCGTAACTTCACCCTTTATGTAAATTCTTTTTTGTAACATGAAGATATATTTGACGTAGTCTTAATACGCCACTGCTTCCGTAACCTCACCCTTTATGTAAATTCATTTTTGTAACATGAAGATATATTTGACGTAGTCTTAATCCGCCACTGCTTCCGTAACCTCACCCTTTATATAAATTTATTTTTATAACATGAAGATATATTTGACGTAGTCTTAATCCGCCACTGCTTCCGTAACCTCACTCTTTATGTAAATTCATTTTTGTGACATGAAGATATATTTCACGTAGTCTTAATCCGCCACTGCTTCTGCAACCTCACCCTTTATGTAAATTCATTTTTGTAACATGAAGATATATTTGACGTAGTCTTAATCCGCCACTGCTTCCGTAACCTCACCCTTTATATAAATTTATTTTTATAACATGAAGATATATTTGACGTAGTCTTAATCCGCCACTGCTTCCGTAACCTCACCCTTTATGTAAATTTATTTTTATAACATGAAGATATATTTGACGTAGTCTTAATCCGCCACTGCTTCCGTAACCTCACCCTATGTGTAAATTCATTTTTATAACATGAAGATATATTTGACGTAGTCTTAATCCACCACTGCTTCCGTAACCTCACCCTTTATGTAAATTCATTTTTGTAACATGAAGATATATTTGACGTAGTCTTAATCCGCAACTGCTCCCGTAACCTCGCCCTTTATGTAAATTTATTTTTATAACATGAAGATATATTTGACGTAGTCTTAATCCGCCACTGCTTCCGTAACCTCACCCTATGTGTAAATTCATTTTTATAACATGAAGATATATTTGACGTAGTCTTAATCCGCCACTGCTTCCGTAACCTCACCCTTTATGTAAATTCATTTTTATAACATGAAGATATATTTGACGTAGTCTTAATCCGCCACTGCTTCCGTAACCTCACCCTTTATGTCAATTCATTTTTTTAACATGAAGATATATTTGACGTAGTCTTAATCCGCCACTGCTCCCGTAACCTCGCCCTTTATGTAAATTCATTTTTATAACATGAAGATTTATTTGACGTAGTCTTAATCCGCCACTGCTTCCGTAACCTCACCCTTTATATAAATTCATTTTTTTAACATGAAGATATATTTGACGTAGTCTTAATTCGCCACTGCTCCCGTAACCTCGCCCTTTATGTAAATTTATTTTTTGAACATGAAGATATATTTGACGTATCTTAATCCGCCACTGCTCCGTAACCTCGCCCTTTATGTAAATTAATTTTTATAACATGAAGATATATTTGACGTAGTCTTAATCCGCCACTGCTTCCGTAACCTCACCCTTTATGTAAATTCATTTTTATAACATGAAGATTTATTTGACGTAGACTTAATCCGCCACTGCTTCCGTAACCTCACCCTTTATGTAAAATCATTTTTTTAACATGAAGATATATTTGACGGGAAGTGATTCTTACACAGTAGTTTATAAGAGGACATACCGTTAATTAAGTCTGTCTTACGTCTTAACAAAGAAATAGTTTTATTTAACGTTATAATCAAATATATTTCAATGAACTAAGTGCACATTAGCACATAAGAAAAATCTTTTGCTTTAAATAGAAACGTTTCCGTTTTGTTTAATAAATCTTAAGTAGTTAAACTTTCCTAAAAATCTAGCAATAAAATCAACAAAGAGCTCCTTTTAGAGTTTTTGAGCAGCATTAGTTTAAAATTTTTAATAAATCTTCAACCTAAATTAAAGTTAGTTTAAAAGTTTCCGTTTTCCATAGTTAACAAGATATCTTTAATACGTTAAAGACATCAATTACTACTCAATCACCAGGACATGTTTCAAATATTCTGACAATATTATAATTATTTGAGCAACATTGATGTGTTTTGACATTATATTGCTTCCTTCCACAACCTCTTTAATGAAGTTTCTTGGCACGAACCTTGTAATTTGACTAAAAACATACTAAGTGGGGTTTTTTGAAATTGACTGGGGGTGGCATTTTTTTGAATGTATAAAATTATGTGTTCCACCCTATGCAACTGGAAAACTGCTTATGTTTAAAACATATCAGGTAAATGAAGTTGTTCCAAGTAAAGACAACACCCAGACGAATAATTACTGTTCGTTTTAATGTGTTATTTTATATGTCTTTCACCATTTCCACGAAAAGATGTTAATTGCCCCGAAATATATTAAAATACGTCTTTTCTCAAGTATACAAGCGAACAAAACGTGCAGCAGATGCCATTAAGTTACTTTTTTGGGGGGAGCTAATAGCCGACCAGCATGTGTGTTCTTACGTATTTCAATGAGACAAAACTACAAAAAAAATATGTTCAGCAGTTGTTATCAGGGGTGGATTTAGGGTATGTCAAAAGAGTCATGCGACATGCGTATTTTCCTAAAGAAATAGTTAATCTATTTTGAGTACTAAGGTCACCAAAATGATGAGTAATTACGTATTTTTTTTATAAAGTCTGAGTTGCATTTCAGTTTTATCTGAAGTTATTATTTGAAACGCATTTCTTTTACAGAGGCTGCGGTTAAGCGCACATCTTGCACCATCTGATGACTATATCCATTTATTTGATTGGCCAAAGCGTATTTTAATTATTCTTGACTTCTCTCGCGACTCATTTGTTTTAAATTACCGGGGGGCTGCAGGCTACTTTGATACTATATTTTCTATTAGTCAATGATGCCTTGACTCACGTGCACAGCTTACGACCGGGGGGGGGGTCGTCGACTTAAAAGTCAGGCGTATTGTATTCTATTTGCAAATTTTGTTTTGGATTTAATAGACTATAATCTTGTAGAATATCCGGACTATTCTACAAATTTACTATCACTATGGTGAGTAATGATATGGTTGAAAGCATTAAATGTGGAATTTTGAATAAAACAGAGTTATTCTGTAAGAATTAAAATCGTCTTTGCGTGAAATGTATGTTTAGTTTGTCGTCGAGTTAGTCGAACGAAACCTTGCCGATTTGTTATTTAACTAGAAGATACTAAGTAGTTATTTTTATGATGAGGTTTATATATATGCCTTTGAATGATTGAGGTAAAGGAAGCGTTTCCATAGCTATAAGGTATTTAGGTTTCAGTCGTGATTCAATTTGAAATGAGTATGTTTGAGTTTGAATATAGATCATTGAATTATTGTACTTGCTGATCAGATGCTGGCAGTTTTTCAAACTTAATCCTTGAAAAGAATTTTTGGCCTGAGGGGATGATTACATGAGCCCGGGTATCTGGGATTAAGCGAGGCGATAAATGATTTTGGCAAATGGAAATGATTAAATACTTATCATCAGATAAATCATCTTGGGCATTTTCACATAATTCTGACTTTACAATAACGCTAAGCATTTAAAATATAAACAATTAATTTGTCCTAATTTGAGAATTAGAACAGGAATGACTTTTGCCCGTCTTAACAAACAGTTTATTTTTTTTGCTTAAAGTTTTGGCTCTTTTTAATGCCTCGAATCATGTAAATAGCCTCTGACACCTTTCAACTTTTTCTTCGCTTATATGCATTGTTATGGTAAGCTTCCTGTCTATGATTTTGCAAAGTGGATGCTACATGCTTTGCATGGGGTATAAAGCAAAGTTGTTTGCTGCTACAAGTTGCAGTCTTAAGAAAATCGGTAGAAGAAGGAGTAAGAAAACATCTGTACAGTTGTGGTTACATTTTACAAAGTTGAACAAAGCTAACGTGAAAATTTGTAGGTCATTTTTTTATTCAATTCATACATGCTTTATCTCTTGTATGCTTATGTCATCGTAAATCTAGCCACATAAGTTTTTTTGAGTACATAGCTGAAAGCAAAAATCCATGGCCAAAATATGTCTTGATTTGTTACTTTCCTATTTTTATAAATCTTCATTGAAATCCGTTCATGGTTAGCAAGTAACGACGAGACAAATATTTACAAAAGTAAATAGAACGTTTATCGCTCTCTGCTGAAGTTGATCGAATTGAGCACGCATTAAGTTAATTTTCTCCAAATTATCGAAAGTTTAAACTTCAAAATCAATAAACTCAAAATGAGGAAAGCCATGCAATTATTTAACGACGTTCCACAGTTATTTTAAATCTTCATTATAAGAATGAGTTTGGCAAATCTCATTGTTGAACGCACGCCCTGTAAGGTGGCACTATACCACTCATCTTCTTTTTACTTGTATCAGAACAAAAACTTTTTTTCCAACAGAATTAAATTTGCATTAGCAGAATTTCAAACACGAAAGTTAAATCTGCATGTATCACATAAACCAAAGTTAGTACATATAAAGATCGTGCCATTCTATGTTATTTATTGCATGTTATGAAATAAGATTCAAACTGTTTTTCTTATATGAGTTTCTAAACATCCTGTAATAATAAATTGCTTGTGTGACATTTTATTTGGCATTAAGTATACTCTTCCTTGTGGAAATGGTTTACACATTTTCATGCTTAAGTAGTTTATTCTTCGATTACTTGAGTTTGTTAGTAAAAAGCACATGTTTTAGTGCTCACTATTGATAAAATACCACATACTTATTGTTTTTATACCACGCAAATTGAAAGATTTTGTTCATTTTTTTCACATCGGGAGCGTATAACTAATGAATGTCACAGTGAACACTTGTAACCAAAGAGTAGATTTAAAGGTAGCTCAGTATGAAATGCTAATTTTTGTTTAAAAGTAAACTTTTAAGCATGGTATTCACTTGGGACATAAGCATAAGGACAAGCAAAGACAAAAGAAAATAAAAAGAATGCAATGAAGCGGCCAACACAATCATCAACATATAAGCATAAGCAGAAGTACTGGATCCTGACATTAGCGTATTTAAGGTGAAACAAAAGTGCATTGTTAAGAAAATCCCTTTTCTTTTGCTTCCTCTAACCTTTGGAGCATACGCTTTGCTTTGGTTTCTTGCTTGTGCTTATGTTGCATTGAAAACTAGGCTTGAAAGTT